GAAAACCCCGTGGAGGCTTGCGGGACCTCCCGCACAGCGAACAAGAGGGGTTCCAACCATTTATCCCAATTTTTGGCGTCCTCGTGAACGAACTTACGAATCATGGTTTTTAAAGTGCGATTAAATCGTTCCACCAGTCCGTCTGTTTGTGGGTGATAGACACTGGTGCGAATCGACTTAATTCCCAATAATTCGTACAGTTTGCGTAATGTATGTGACATAAACGCCGTGCCTTGGTCAGTGAGGATCTCTTTCGGGATCCCCACTCGGGAGATTAATTGAAACACTCTTGGCAGAGATGCTGCAGAGCGCCACTGCCTCGGGATATCGTGTTGCATAGTCCACCAGCACTAATGCAAAACGATGCCCTCTTGCGGATCGTTCTAATGGCCTGATGAGGTCCATCCCAATCCTTTCGAAGGGGACCTGCATTAACGGTAGAAAGCGCAATGGCGCTTTTGGGGAGGCTGGTGGATTTACCAGCTGACATTCACGACAAGACGCGCACCACCTGCGCACGTTCTCATGAATGCCCGGCCAAAAAAACGGGGCCATGAGACGATTTAGTGTTGTTGTTTGACCTAAATGTCCAGCCATGGGATTACAATGAACTGCCTGGAAAAGCATTTCCCGACGGCTTTTTGGCACTAACAGCTACTTTCACCACGTCCCCGTGCACACACCGTACCTGAACCAAGCGGCCTGTATCCAATGCCTAGGGCTGAAGCAGGCTTTGATGGATAGAGGTTTGGTTACATCCTGAATCCACCAGAGCCTGATAGGTACCCCCCTTAATACTCACAGGTATTTGGTAACAGCCAGCCTGACCGGGGGCAGCCTGCAGGGCATCCAGGACCCGGATCATTGTCCCCACCTCCATCATGGGACACCTGTCAATAAAATGCTCCGGGTCCCCACAACGCCAACAGGTGGCCCAGACCTCCCCGTCGCCCTAGTGGCGGGTAGTGGGTCAAATGAAACGGATGCTGCATCGGTCCCAGCCGTGGTCAGCCCCGCCCCCCTGGGCGGAGCTCTCAGGCCAGCAGCATAATCCGGTCCGGTCCCACCCCGCCCTCAGGGCAGGACTCATGGAGGACCTGGAGGACGGGACCTGGGAAGAGGAACAGGTCGAGAGGCAGGGAGAGAGAGAGAAAATAAAGGGGAAGAGAGAGAGACAGCTGGAAGGGATTCGCCGACCCCAGGGCACGCCACCATCTGATCCTCCGCCAATTGGATGGCTGAGTCCAGCGACGTCGGTCGGTGGCACTGGACCCACTCTGCCGTCTTCTTTGGCAACCGAGAGATGAACTGCTCCAGTACCACACGGTCAGTGATGTGCTCGACGTCGCTTCCCTCAGCCAGCAGCCATTTGCGACATGAGTCCCGGAGCCGTTGGGCCATCACGAAGGGTCGGCCGCTCTCGCCCAGGTCCAGCGAACGTAATCGCTGGCGATGTTGCTCCGGGCTTCTGCCGACCCGCTGGATGATGGCTCTTTTGAGGTCGTCAAAGACCAGGAGGTTCCATACGGGCAATTGCTGAGCAGCCACCTGCACTTCCCCCAACAACAGTGGTATCAGGCGCATCGGCCATTGCTCTCGTGGCCACCCATCGGTTTCTGCTGTTTTCTCAAACAGATCCAGGAAGGCTTCGGGGTCGTCCTGAGCCCCCATCTTGTTCAGCGGCAGGTTGGGGGCCAGGGTCTGCTGAATTGCTGCTTCTGCCCGAACCTCCCGATCCATCCAGCTCCGGAACATCTTGCGGTCCTCCTGTTGTGCCTGGATAATGGCCTGGAAGCGATGCTCCTGGTCAGTCCGCATATCCAGTAACGCTTGGTATTGTTCTTGATGGAGGACCGCGAGGGATGAGATGACATCCGCAAATGGCGTAATTGTCGGAGTTTGCATGACGGCGGCAGCTCTCCTGCTTCCTTCCCGGGTTTCGGCACCAGTGTAACAAAGTCAATGATCGAGAAGGAAGAGGACAGGGTCAGCTTGACTGCTGCTGGTGATTTTATTCGGGTTTCAGTAAATAAACAGAACGTCGCGCTACCAGCACTCAATATAACACAGTTGCATAAGCAATATACAGGGGCTCTCCAGAGCAGACAGTCTCCACACGTGCACACCAGTCAGCAGTCTGTCCCTCTCTGCCTGCCTTCTCATTCCCGGGCCTCTTTATGCGGTCTCTCCACGCCAATTACTGGAACAAGACACAGGTGTTTGTCATTTGCATTTGACCCACTAACTCACCGCTCATCTCCCAACTCTCTCTCCCGCTGCAGACCTCGCTGAACCACGCCCCCCTCGCCACATCAGAGTTCAAGTTTCAACGCAGAGTTGGTTGAACCTCCTTATTGAAACAGGCCCCTGATGTCTATAAAGACTTGAATTCTAAACTTTCTGGTTTGTGCCTGATGAAGAACTGATGGTCTTCAAAAATAATTTTTTGGAGCAGTCACGTATCAGTGTGTGGACATTTGTTTGTTTTGTTTGAATAATGCCTTATAGGCCTTAAAAGCATAGCATATAAAGTTTATTATGTAGCAGAATATGGTCATGCAGAATAAGGCATAAATATGTACTAATAAACAGACACTATGCTAGTAATATGCATGCTAATGAGCAACAAGTTATTAGTGAATATGTGTACCTTAATATAAAGTGTTACTTTGTAAAAATACTTTACTTTTAACTTTGTGAACACTAAGCACTTATCAAGTGACACAGAACATACTTAACATTTTTAAATTGCGCCAGTATGCATCATAATGCATCTAAATTATGTTCAGTTATATTCATGGATAATAATGATCAAACTTTCAAAAACTGTCAGCACACAACAGTTGAATCTAGAGCTGTTTTGCAAGGTTTGAAAGAAGCAACTGTTACAAAACTGGATTTAACTGCATCATATTGCATCTTAATTATAAATCATCAGATACTTCACATTTACCATGTGTTACCTATTGTGTTAGTTCTTTTTTCCACAGGTGCCATGTGCTGTTGGGAGTTGTTCCTCCTTTCCTCTGTAAACTTACTTGTCATTGAACTGCACTTTTGAAATATTCAGATTTCCTGACAAAAATATTGAAATCTTTAATATTTGTATCTTTAAAAACAGTCTTCCTTTATATTATTATTTTATTCAATTGAAGTATGAGACAGATTTTAAAAAATGCAGCCAAAGTTTAATAATCAAAGGTAACATGTATATCATAATACAATTAATATAATGAATAAAAATAAAAGTATAGTACAGGAAAAACAGGAAGTATAACTATAATCGAAGTCTTCATTTTAGTATCATCTAATCTTCTGAGTTACATAGCATCTTATGTGAGCAGGAAATGAATATAGGGATTTCAAGAAGCAAGAGCAGAAAATGAAAATGTTACACTCTTTATACCCAGCATGTTATCAGATAAGAGTAGGGTATTTCCCATTGTTAAAATGTCATACACATCTGTCGTGACCAGGTCATTGTGACCGGTCACCTACGTCTGTACAAGCAGATAGACGTAGATAGAATTTTGGTTTTATACACTTTAGCAAAATAAGTGCTATCTTGTCTCCGCATACTTTGCTTGTGCAGCTCTTACAGTGGTGGAACCATAGTATATTCAGTGCAGTAAATTCTAAGAAAAAATGGATCTAATCAAATGGAACATCATTTACGTAAAAGATGTGAGATCTACAATTATGTAGCCAGGAAGGATGGTACAAATGACATGTCAGTCAAAATAAGTCGTACAAAAACAAGCCCTTAAAAGAAAACTCCAGTGATAAAAAATTCCTTATGTAATGAGTATATAACCTTAAGGAAAATAAAGAATAATTTATAAGAAATTAACATACAATAGAAGAAATTAATAAAATAAATTAATAAAAGATACAATTCTGATCAAGGGAGAAAACATAACTAATAAGAAATAAATCATCAAAACAACCTTTGACGTTCTTATACACTTGAAATTTGGATATTGTATATATATATAGAATGTTTAACACTATTTGCATGGTTATTTTGTTCATTCAGAATGAGTAACTAGAATCAATTAAAGTAAAATTACCTAATCCCAAAACAGCATTCTCACGTTTAATTCATTCAATACAAAATATCAGGTTAGGATTTTCTCTATTTTCATTTAACAAGCTGTTGTAATACTGATAAGTTGTACATCATGCACAGAATTAAGACATTTTTAATTGTTTAAGTATGAAAGTGTTTTGAAGTACCATGAAATGCATGCATTAAGTTTTATTTAATACCTTACAGAGTTTTTCTTGAACCATAGTTGCTTTTTCTCCAACATAATTTTTTGCCTGACTTAACAGGGACATTGCATTAAAGGATTCATTTATTTTTGTTTCAGATTTGTATGCTTTCAAATCCTCTGGAAGCACTCCTCCTGTAGAAACCGTACTGATGATCTCTGCCTTCTTCCTGACTACCATTAAAGACTGAATGCGATCTTGAAATCCAGGCTTAGCTTCTTGTTTCTCAGACTCAATCATCAGATCAATGTAGTCAGGGGTGGAAAGAGGATTGGGCTTGAGAGCAATTTCCTGCAGCCGCTCCAAGGACTTTTGAGATTTTTCAATTAATCCAGCAACAATACCCTGAACAACCGTAAGCTCCTTTTCAAACTCTTCAAAGATCTTTTCTTTTGACATGACCTGTCCATGTGCAGCCTCAAATCTCTTTTTTAAATCATGATAGGTTTCCTTTCTCTTTTCTATGACATAATTCCATTTGTATTTTTGATTGAAGTGCACATTCCATGCACACTTTCCTGGACAGATCTGACACTTTCCGTCTTTCATCGCATCACACTTATATTTATCCTTGTCATCTGAAAAAGCACATGGATAATGACATGTGTAGTGACAAATCTGGCAGTTGGTCAAAAAGTTGCCTGTATTGTTTTCAATCTGTTTTGGGACAGTTACTTGTAGTTCATATTCAAAATTCTTGTTTGCATCCATTTCAGCCTTGTGCTGCTCCAATGCAGCTCTTGTCTTCTTGATTTCATCCAGATTTGTCAGACCAGCATTTATTTGTTCTTGATTTCATCCAGTTTTGTCAGACCAGCATTTATTTGGGGCTGGAGGCCTTCCACATGCACTTCTAGATGTTGCCGCTCTTTTAGGACCTCCCGTGTCAGAGACAAGCTCTTGGTTTCCATCTTGTTAAGGGATGTGAAGAATTTGTTCATGCTGGAAAATCCCAACTTCCAGAACATTTGGTCAAAGTATTCACAATCAGACTCCTCATCCTCTGCAATTTTATTATTGATAGCAAACACAGCAGAGTTGTTGAACTTGAAGTGAAGTGGTTCTTTAGACTCATTTGTAGAACAGGGCACCTCAGACACTTTGATGGCCTCGAGAACTGGAGGTCTTTTCCCATCTGCAAAGGTGACCATCATAAGGATGTTTTCAGCAATATCCTTCCCGAATATGGAAAGAATGGAGTCAAAGATGTATTTCTGTGTGTGTGTCAGACGAGCAAGTGAAGCCTGTACTACAAAACACAAAGCATCAATGCAGTCGATTCCTCCACGGGCAGAAAAAAACTCCTGAATCTGTGTTGTGATTTTCTGGTCAT